GACGATGCCCTTTCCTCTTATGCGAGTGATCCCTACCGCCCGATGATATTGACGCTCACAGGGCTGACTGATTAGAAGTACTTTCGAATGGGGTGAAAAAGATGACGAATTCAGAAAGCAAGATTCATTTTAACCGTTTTTGAAAACACGAACAGGAAAGTCGCAGAAAAATAATATAGACAAACTTGCAAGTTCGACATGGTGAACGAGATTTTTCTTAACGCAACATCTTTTTTCTTATAAAGAAAAAAGTGAATGTCCAATTATATAGCATGTGTGGCTCATTTTTTTTTTTAGAAAAGTATTCAGAAATAATGGATGCAAATTTTCCTGCTTTATACCAATACATGAAATTTATTTTATGAATTTTGAGGGCATCCTCTAACATATTCCCGCTGGTAGACTACCGCTAACGTATCCCTTTGAAAATTTTTTTATACATTTTTATAAAAAACATTTACATTATGTTATTAGTTTTTCAAATTTTGTTGTTGAGTAACTCATAATTACTGCGTCGCCAACTTAAATATTTCCCACGAAATTTTATAAAATATGGTCTCTCCCACGGCTTCGATTTCGCCGTCTACCTTATGTGTTTATCTGTTACGGGACACTCACCCCACAGTGGTGTCGTATAATAGGTGTTGTTGTCTCATTCGTGGGTTTGTCGACCGTGCCGGTAATGTACATGCTTTATTTGATACTGGTCCAGCAGTGGAGTTCAAATTTCGCGCGCTTAAGCTACAGTGAGCGCCATAGGGCAAGAGGACAATAGACGACCAAATCAACGAAGTTTTTAATAAAGACTAATTGTCACATGCTGATAAGACTAAACGGAGAACAAATGAAGTAACAATTTAAAATAATCAGAACTGTACCGGTATAGGCTGATACAGTCTTTAAATTAAATCTTGATTAAAAGGATAAGAACCAGCCAGTTTCTTTGTTTTTCGCATAAATAAAAAGACGTGCTTTACACATGTTACCCTCTTGTAGCCGAACCGTCGTATGAATGTGAGCCGGAATAGCTATTTCAGTACGGCATATTTACTTAACACGCTAAACGAACTTTTAATTTCCCCATGTGTCACTCTTGCGCTCCATGGAAATGACTATAGTTGTAGCGTGGAAGATTGCAGAAGCCTACATCAACTCGCAATTCAAATGAGAAAGGAGAATGCATGCTTTAAGCACTAGCAGGTTAATTGTCCCGCAGAGTTCTTTATTTTTCTCACTTGAAGATTAATTGTCTCGCAAAGTACTTTATTTTTCTCACGTTCAAGCTAATTGTCTATTCCTATTGAGCTAGTGATTTCTACTGAGGGTAGCGTCGTCTGCAATAGATGAGCGTCAACTAAGCCGATCACACATTACCACATATCAGATTCATGTCTTAACATGTACTTAAATATTGTGCCGCTTCTTTTGATCCTCCTTGTTATTAGAACAAACTGAAAGTTACGGTACGGAACAGAAAATGTATTTCTACTTATAATAGATCTAGTAATCATATAGTGTGAGCTTTTGTATGCATTCTACATGTAAATTATTCCACTTCCGTCATTTGCATTCAGACCTGTTATTATTGAGAGTGACCACACACAATAACTACAATAATACCCACACTAACAAGTCACAATTACTATTATTTACTAGTCACTAGTATTATTTACATTGTAACTATTATTAATATATAATATAATAATAATATAAAAATAGGGTGTAAATAATAGTAAATAAATAAATAGTAGTTACATCACACAAACAATCCTATTTACATCGTATTATTGTAGTATACATATATATATATATATATATATATAGCGTCTTACGAAAGCGCTACAAGCCCGCTCTTCTTCTTGGCTGGGTGACACGACAGTGTCTGAGACGGTCGAGTCAAGCCACTCATGGACCTGCGACTCTGAGCCCAGTTTTTCTGTTGCGGTTAACTCGAAATCGATACTCCCTTATATACGCAGTAGATCAGCAATCTTGGGTGTTCGTCAATAATTCGGCTAACTATAATTTTACTATTAACCAAAACTCGTTAGACTGGAAGTGCTCACAGAATCTGTAAGCTCTACTTTTGAAGAGACGATATTTTTGAAGTTCTATTGGTGGCTAGTGCAAATGTTTGACCCAGTACGACAAAAAGTGATTACCGTAAATCTGACCGCATATAGAAAGGGTGTGCTCAATAGCTGAAACATTTACCTGTAACCTCCTTCCGGGATACTGTTAGCATATGCTATAGGTACTAACTTTCGCCATTCTAATCGTACCTAGGTTAGTCCATACATTGTTCCCAAGACTGAAGCAACTGGTTGGCACGATTTTCGATTTAGTACGTATAACTTAATATTATTTTAATTAGACTTGAATTAATTTAACTGATGCCGGAAATGGCCTCCAAAATCTACGCAAGTTATACTGCGTGAAATTCTATAGTACCCACAATCTTGAGCTTCCGCTTAATGAAGCGTTAATGGTACGCCTGCTATGTGAGAACACAAAAGTACGAAACTCCGAACGTTAACAGTCGGCCCTTAAACGTCGTTGAAATCTTGCTTTTTTATTCGCTTATGATCTCCAAATTAAATATTGCTTTTGCACGGAAGACTTGTCCGCGTTTCACGATTGCGGTTAGAACCAAGTTTAAATGTATTAATAAATACGAGTTTTTTTTTTTTTTTTTTTAAATAGCCACAGGCACACTGATTTTTATAATAGGTTATCGACATTTGACCGAGCCACCTAGTAACTTTTAAGAATGAACGCTGAGTAGTTTCTAAAACACACAAGTTACGATTACCAATTATGAAAAAGTGATATTCTTTCTGTTGTGTTAAATTCTAGTGTCAAACCCGTAGATTCGGGTGCTGATCATATATGTAGTGTACCAAAAGGATTCAACGAAAAAAACGCAAAGTTTCTAGAAACAGGAACGCTCGATCGGTTCGCTGGAATGAGATTTGTACATTTTATAATCAGCGTTTGGCGTTCGCCTCGTGGTCCATGGCACTTAATATGTAGAACATGTATAATTTGAAATTCATTACTGGCCCGGTTCTGGATGACGTGTACTTATCGCCGGTACGGTTCCAAGCAAAAAGCTGCCACTACGTAGCCTAGGTCTGATCGTAATTCAAGCGAGAAATATACACATGATTTGAGCACCCGCAGGTCGACTACTTCATAAACTTCATTTTTTAACCTTGAATGATTAAGCACTCGTTGGTATTGATTATTATTACTTCTGATGGGGTTAACGTCGTCCATAATCGATGGCAGTCAACTGGGTCAATGGCCTCTTTGCAAGGTATACGCACTATAAGATATGTGCAAACATTTTATCGGATTCTATTTGTTATATCCGCTGGCTATAAAAAAAACAGTAATGCAAGGCCATATATATGTATATATATATATATTTGATAACATCTGGCTAGAGATTGTTATAACGCCCCTTAAAAGTAGATTTTGAAAATTAATTATATCAGTCTTCACCTACGCTATAATCGAGTTGAAGGTATTAAATGTTTCTAGTTTTATGTCACTTTTACGCGCAAACAATCAACGACGTTTCCAGCTCCACGAGTCAAGTGATGTCTATCTGTTTGTCTACGTCTGGTATCAAGCCTACGTCACGTCTAGTACACCATATCAGCTGCCAAACTAGAGATTATAGTAACTGGGAACTATTAGTCGATCAGCCACCCGGATTTTAATACCCAATAACAATTTAGTTTTTTTTTTTTGAAACCTCCTGGGATGTCACGTTGCTACTATGTAGTACGTACAATTTGAATGAATTAACTCATGAATCAATAACATCAATAAATCAACATAACTACAACTGATGTCAATCAACTATATTTACTATAAAGAATTTAAATTAAATTAAATTTTAATTAAAATGGGCGAAACAATTTTCCGTAGAAACTGCTGTGTAAATCACTGCCACAGCGGCTGCAAAATTTGGTAACTATTTAGTAATCAATTTATTATGCTAATATGTACAGTTCAAGTTAGAAAACTTGTTCAATTATTAAATATGATTTTAATGATGACTGAGTTCAAAATGGAAGCATCAAATTTTTGAAGTTAAGCACGACTTATGGCGTGCGCAAATTCAATATTGCAGACTCTTGTAATTAAAATAGCCGTTGTCACTCTTTTTTTTTGAAATTTTTTTTGTATTGTATATGTATGTATATACGTTGTAGTTTACCTGTATGGGATATGGGACAAGTTTCTTAACTATTTGAAAAAGCTTATTTGATAGCCTGAAAGATCTTAATATTTTGTTACGGACGACACGACAGTTCCCTACTAAATGAAAGGACTTCATTTTTGCTGCACTTTGATCTCTTGCGAAATTGTCAAGTAGCTTTCTTAAAAACTGCTTAAGGACCCCATTTTGTTCCATTTTAGCCATTAACAGATATTTAAGATATTTTTTTTTCATATAAATCACACGAATGTTCTAAATGGTATAGTGACTCTTCACGAAAACATCAAGGAAGTTAAGTGTTTTTCTACGCCGTTCTAAATTTTAACCTCTGACATTTATTTGTAACATAGCGTTTGTTGAAATACCCTCAATGGGCGGATGATGCCCTTCGCGAAATCTCCGCTGCTCGCAATTTCTATATTCGTTCTCGATGAAATCATCGTCGAGGAATTTTTTTTCGCAAAAATTTGGTCTCGGTCATTTATCTAAAATATAACAATCGCGAAAATGTTCCTCCAAAGATTCCAGCAGCAAATGACCTCCTTCACATGAAGTTCACACAGTGTATCGCTTTCTTCAATAACTTCTTTATTATGTTATCAGAACAAGCAGAAAACATTTTTAAAGTTATGAAATTTATAATACAAATAGGATAGCAATTCAAAAGTGTAATCTTTTCAATTTGCCTTTTACATACCCGTCATACAAGTCAATGAGAAGTATACTTAGTGAGCAGTTATTGTCCCCCTAATATACAGGTGTCAAACTCTGACGCGTTTAAGCTCTTCTGCGAGATGTTGGCATGGTCTGACATCGACGTCCTAATCGAGGCCTGTTTGCAGTTGGACCAACTTTGATTTTGTTGAACTCGACAATAATGTCGAGCATTAAGGCACAGCTGCATTTGACTCGTTTACATTGGCGCCAAGTGTGATCGCATCAAAGTCCGGGGCGTTGAATTTCTGTGGTGTTAGTACCATCTGAATTTTTAAAGTCTGTTTTGGCACCTGCAGAACGGGTACTTCGGGATCATTTGTATTCAGGTAGGGTGTTGTCTTCGAGTCCATGATGTTGAATCTCGGAGGTGTATGTACAACCGGAGTTCCTAGATTCGACCTTCTGGGCACTGTCGGAGGTGCCCGAGACATGGACGATTCGGGACCAATTACATTTGGGCCAAATATGATTTCATCAAAGTCCGAGATGTTGAGCCTTGGATGTGTTGGCACAGCTTGGGTCTCTGGATTTGGCTTTCTGGGCGGTGTGGGAGGCACTCGAGGCATAGGCGTCTTGGGTCCAATTTCATTCGGACCAAGTATGATCTCATCAAAATCCGGGGCACCGAAAGGCCGAGCTGTTGGCACCATTCGAGAAGCTGAAATCAGTCTCGTGGGTAGTATTGGAGCCAATTGAGAAACACGTGCTTCGGGATCATTTGCTGTCGGGCCAAGTATGATCTCATCGAAATCCAAAATGCTGAAGCTCTGAGGTGTTGATACAGTCTGAATTCCTAAAGTCAACTTTCTCGGTGATGTTGAAGGCGCAGGTGTTTCAGGCTCATTTACATTCGACCCTAATATGATCGCATCAAACTCTGAACCATTAAATTGGTTAACTGGACATTGCCTTGGTAGAGGTGCCGTTACATGCCATATGTATGGAGGTCGATTGTCTATGCTACGCGCAATATCTGGTCTGATCATCACAGTTTCAAACAACATGACTAAGCTTTAATCGAGCTTCTTTTTAGCTTTTTAGTTGTCAGAAATTCAATGACACAATAAAGCCACAACAAATAAGTCGGGGTACTTATACTCGTGGACAACCCCTCAAAAAACAGAAAAGGCTGACACCCTTCCCCCATGCGAGTGATCTCGATGATATCGAAGCCTTCGGTGCTGGCTGATTCATTGGAAGTGCTACCGAATAGGATGGCAAAGATGAAGCGGTAAAAGCGGTATTCGTTTTACCTGTTTTTGGTGATATGGGAGGGGGGATTGGATTAAAACAGTGTAGACAAACCTATGAATTCAGGTAATCATCGTGGTTTATATGGTAAACAAAATTTCTCTCATATATCATTAATTAATATTTGTTGTTTTTCTTATAAAAAAAAAATCAACTGTTAAATCATTATTCTGAAAAAAAAAACATTTTGAAATAATTACTGTTCATATTCCTGCTTCATTCCAATGCACATGATTTTGTTTAATACGATATCACGTTTGAGATTTCTCTTACATTTTTGTTACATTTTTTTTTTTTTTTTTTTTTACAAAACACTTGTTGTTTACATCCCGAATACTATTGCTAATTAACTGAGTCATTAATGTAAGTATTAATTTACTATGAAATTCTATACAATATATTCTCTATCACACTTTCCGCTTTGTTATTTACTTCTCGTGCTTACGACGGCATAATCAGCGACAATTTTGTCGTTTTTTTGTCACAACTAAAGTGGAAAGCAAAGACACACGGTTTAATTGGTCGTTCTAACTGTTTTTTTTTTCTAGATTAGTGAAAAAGTATGCATTTTTTAATGGTTTTGATTACCTATGTCGAAAATATTGTCCTTTGCGTTTGATGATTCTCAGCCATTTGATCAGATCTCGTTTGTAATATCATGGATTTATACACCGCAGTGAAGGAGGCACTTTTCACGACAGCCTTCACATACTGCATTATCTAGTCGGCTGTTGGTCAAACGGTTTTACACTATCAAACTATTGATTGAAATGCTCGGTAAAGAGTGGTAAATACAGATATTATACCAAACCTATATAGAATAATGATTTTCATCGATGGCTTTCAATGCGTTATTGCTTTAAAAAAAAATAGCTCTATACCTGATACTAGGCTTTTCAACTAGCGATACGTGCCCCTCATGTTAGGTTTTCTTCTAGTGATAGAGCTAAGTAAAGGCAATCTAGGACGCACAAGGTTGCGCGAGTTTTTTTTTTCTGAAAAGATGCATGATTTTCAGATTAATACCTGAATATTTATTCAGGTATACGATAGGCTAGCCATTTCTCACAATGAAACAGGGATGAGTTGTAAACTGACGAGATACCTATGGATTTCGACAGAAGGTGACAGACCATACAAAATTACTGGCAATTTTCCTAAAATTTTTACGAAGTTAATTTTTAATCTGATTCGATCATCAAAACAAAATTATAAAAAAAAGTTAAAAATTCTACTAGTAGAAGTAATCGTATTATTCAGAGGCTACGAAGTGGCTAAACGCTATATAAAGAAAATAAAGTTACAAAACATCGGAAATGAAATGTTTCGCATATCTTCTCACCTAGATAACGAATCTCTCTTAATAATTCATGTTGCTTCTGCAACGAAGCCCATTGCTGATCTTCCCGCTGCGCGCTAATTTAGCACAGGTAAAAAGTGGCCTTTTCTCCTTAGCATCTTTATTCATCCTGGTCAAAGCTGTAACAGATTGGCCCATTAATTCGAAAGGAACCAGTAAGGAACCTTACATTTGACTTGCTTCAGTAACAATTCAGGTGCGAAGCCTCACCGTTTGGGAAATGGTTGCCGACTCGGCGCCAGCGACCCTAGAGGGGTCGCTGATAGGGGGTGCTGAGCCTGCAAATATTAGATCCTAAAAAGCAATCCACGTCTACGGTAGATGATGCCGCATTAATACTCTTTTCAAGAGTGATATGTAGGGTGCGTTTATGGCCGCCAATAGTTGCGAATACATTTCTTGGTTTGTCTTGTTTCGAAAATCTTCATATCTCCGGTGGTTCAAGTGTAGCTTGCCGCCATAGACATACGTTTTCAAGCTCATCTGTTTGACTATAATTAGTGGTTTGTTAGGCGTGCCAAAAAGAGGCCCGTCCATTTCAACAGCGACGTGCGTCCCGTGCTGGTCGACACTTGTCAAGGTTCGAATCGAGTGCTTCTTGGAGCTCAACGTATCGCCAAAAACATCCACATCCGTCATGTTTATTTTCACCGAAGCAAACGTCAGATTACACGCCAAACTCATTTGATTATGACATTTACTATAGGAACAGTTTCCTTTTCGAGCAATCCCACTTAGGCCGCGTATCTGGCCGAAATTAAAGACCACCTCAAGGTCATGGTTCAAGAAATTGTTTGACGCAATTCTTATCTTAAAGTTTGAAGCACGCAGCGGATCAAGACCATTGGCCGAAGCCCGATAGCTCATTTCCGCGAGGATTACATCCAGGAACGAGTTTGCCACGTAATTCGCCGTGGCCGACAGCACTACAACCACGATAAAGATTACTGCTCCGAAAGGCGTCTTATCGAAATTTAACGGCATAATTATATTCAGTCTACATAGCAATGGCACCTTTCCCTGTTTGTAATTTTGCGTTTGTGTGTGTACGCAGTTTGCGATGAGACGAATGCTAGAAATCTTGTTTGACAAAGCGATCCTTCGATACAATGGCTATTCTCTTAGATGTACAAAATAGACTACACGGTCTTCTCCTACTGTCGAAACAGCTTATGTAATTCATACAACAACGTACGGTTTCGGGATATGCCTTGTTTTGAGTATACGATTAAGTAAGTTCATTTTTCCCCTAGAATAAATGGATTCGACATAATCGACCGAAAGATCTACACGGCATCGTGACTTAAAAATAACGAGGCCGCTTCACAAATGTGCCTAATGAATCAAGTCGTCTGCTAAGTCTACTTAGCAGACGACTACCTACCTAAAATTGGCTGACAACAGGTTAACGTTTTCGTCTTACTAGTCCCTTTGATCATGCGGAGTGGTCTAGGTTCGGAACTGAGTGAACGCGCGACAAATTTTGTTTGGGTAGAGAAACCAATAGCCGTCTGCCGGCTATAGAGTGGAATGATTCCGTCAGAGTCACACGCGAATCAGACAAGGACCTTGTGTACACTTTTCTGTCAGTGCGGTCACTAGGCGGAATTCTAACACAAAAAAAAAAAATAGAAAATGCTTTGGAAAGCGAATTTGTTACTTGGTCGGTTGCCATATTCTACTTACCTAAGTTCGCATGCGCAACATGCATACGCACACACTTGTCTGTGATTTAGGCTGTATATATGTTGCGTATTTCAAACGGAACATCGTACAATTTTCTTCATGCCAGCTAGCGATTAAGTTAAGCGATTGCCCATAATGTGACAAAAGATGATCGTCAAGGAAGCTTACTTGAACTTCCAGGCAATATTTAACATGAAGGTGGGTGTTTTGGGTTTGAATCGTGGTGTTATATATGCCCGATATGGATAAGGTCAAATAAGTTGTAGCCACGGTAGTATAACCTGCTGAGAAATTAGCTAGGAATATAAAGATGGATTACTTTTTCTGTGGTAACGCTATGATGTTGAGGGCCGCTTATGTGTGGTCCTATAGGAATCTAAAAATTGAGTGGTTTTCTCAATGATACGTAAGTCGTCGTGGCTGATAGTTTGTTTAGAATAAAAGAAAAAAATTTCGTGCGTTTACAACAGCAACAACAGCAGATCCAAGGGAGTTTCGCTGACGTATGGAGTGGCCGGCCGAGAGCGTAAGAAACCATTTGGAAAATAGTTGTTCCTCTATTGCTTTAGTAGAATGTTACGTGTTTTTATTCGCTTGTACTGAGTAATTGCTTCTTCAATAACATACAGGTATAACACTGATGTCTTAAATTAATTGGTTAGGTTGAACTGGTCAGCATGAATACCAGCATGTGGCCTACTGTAAAACTGTATAGCCCAAAACTTGGATTTTTTTGGGCTAATTTTTAGTAAAGGTGAGACGTTATGAATGACACTTCGTGGAACTTGCACAAAGAGTACGATTTAGTTGCTTCAGCAGTTACTTGTTGGTTTGCTGGCTGGCTGAATCCATTTCGCCACGTTGACAGCCTTGATTATTGATTCACTTACAGAATGCGGGTTTTTTTGTTGACTATAAACAGGATCGTCGTCTTGCACGCATCAAGCGTCGTCTAGGCCGAGATACTGTGTTTATTTTTATCGAACGTATCGCCTTTAACATCGATGTTTCCTATATTCACTTTCGCTAAAGCTTAGCGTAATAGTAAGTTGCCGATAATCGTTCGACCCGGTCTTGCTTAGGCCGGTGATTTTTAGTTGTGTGGTTCATCTCTGGAAGCTTTTCGTCCGCCAAGGTCCTGGAGGCACTTATAAACAAATTCCTTTTATTCGCTATACAGTAAGGTAATGGTGGTTAACGCCTAGGCGAGTCCGGCATCCTCGGGTAACCTAGGTTAGACGCTGGTCGAGCTTGTCGTTCTCATGAACGGCCGCTTATATGCCTTTAATGGCATTGGGGGGAGGACACGTTTAGACGCGTCGATTAGAACAGGCTCAGTGACATCAGATACCTATCGCGTTTTGGAGTTATTCCACATGTATGTGTATGTTGAATACATCGGTTATTGGTACTGAATCTCAAGAGCAAACTGCAATAGCCGAAACAAGGCCACATGTGGTTCGTATCAATCATAGTAGGTTTCGACATTAGACGCCGCAACGAGAATAGTTACGAACGAACTTGCGGCTAGCGATCCGAACAAAAAAAATCGTAAATGGTTGTGTAACATAGCGTATATTTTGCCCGTTACGGAAATTCTCTCATTTCTATCTTGTGCATCTCTATTCGATAGCATAGTTTGAAACTTGCTTAGTTCTGCTCAGAAAACTGGAACTGCACAGTAACGTAAATAAAGTCAAGTTCTAGGAATAAATGTAAATGGCTCGTACAATATGATATGCACTGGCAAGCGAAACCGTGGTGGAATAAGCGGTCTGTTGAAACTTTTGCATGTTGGCATTCCGTCGAAGAAAGGGTTCGGTCGAAGAAACCGCTGGTTCGGATCCCGTCACGCCAGCTTATCTCATAGATGTAATGGACCAACCAAATGGACGTAATAGATATTAAATAAGCATAAATGTAATAAATTGCTTGAATATGTTTATAGTTCACTGAAATAAACGCCAAATAAAATGTATGGTTGTCTTGTTACGCTTCGGAAATTTTTTCTGCGAAGTTGGTGAATTTTTTCATTCTTAAGCAATTTCACGAGATAAGTATCTGTCAGCGGAAGTGCCTAGGATATTAGGTTAACCTCCTGTCCTTGGCATGGGTGAAATTTATCTTAGCCGTCATATCTCGGCAACCTTTCAACACCATGCTACAGCGCGTCTAAAGGCAAACGTAAAATTTGACGCCGGTAGACAAGCCAGCTACATATAAACAAACACCCCATGTATAAACGCTCCCTCTTAGCTTCAATTCCTTACCGTTGCAGGTCTAAAATGTATTGAGAACAGTTTCTAATTAGGTGTATCAGTAGCGAAGCTTTGTTCTCCCTCTAGATCAGTTTGAAGGATGATCTTCCAATATCTAAATTTGCCTAAAAGTACGCATTATCATACTGCGCTGTGTGTGGGACTATGATATTGATATGCTCCGATTCAATATATCCGTATACTGCTGATGCTTTTATTGATAGCCGACGCTCTATTGGAGCTGCGCATTGAATTTCTCCGAAACAAGTTCCATATCGCTTCGTTCTACATCAGATCAAATTCGGTCCACTGCTTGGCCGTGACTTATCAGCGCCAGCTTCGTGCTAGTATCTATACAGGTTTTCGCGAGTAGACTTGGAGACGAAAATTCTCCAGCAAGATAGAAAGAGCCCCTGTAACGTCGCACTTTTCCAGTGACGTCATGAACATTAACGTAAATGATTATAGTAGCAATGATCGCAAGCCGTTGATCTCTACGACGACGACGACGACGACGACGACAGCTGTGCCAAGGAAATAGCTTAATATTGAGGTCTATGACAGTCCGTTTTTTCGGTCCACCTCACCTAATGATTGCTGCTGCGGGATCGGTCGCGATAATTAACGGCAAGTTTTGCATTAACACCGATTATTATCAATTTATCAACCTTCGAAAGCCGATTTACGCAGAGGTCTACGTGAAGCTATTTTAAGGAACGCGTAGGCGCGACTCGATTGCCGAGAAAGTTCTTTGGCATTTTCGTTTTATATATATACGTATATATATATATATATATATATATATATATACATCAAAAATAATAAAGAATGATAACAATTATTTAAAAAGCAAATGGCAGAAAAAAGTTTGACTGGAGGAAATTTCACTTTACTTAGTTTTGGCGGTACGTTAGGTGGTAGCTGTCGCCATACCCGTGAACCAATCGTATGAATCAATGCTATCTACAATACGTAAATCGTAAAGAATCATCTTTCAAGCAACGAGGTCAACAGCTACAAAAACAATAAAAAAAAACACTTCAAAAACCAACTCTTCCTCAGTGTGTCGTGTGATATATACACACACACACACACTTGGAAAACAAATGACGAAGTCTTACATATTAAAACCATAGTACACAATCCATGTCAACAAGGAAGCTTATTTCAAATTCCTATATGGATACAAAGCAAACAAATACTCACTCTTACCTGTACCAATTCAGAGAACTTGAACTAAAAACAATTATAAAAACGCATCCGATGCTTAATTCGGGCTCCAGTTTTCACTTGTTTTAGGTGCTAGCCAACAGGCTGAAAGTGCTTGAAGAATATTGACTATATCACATATACGCCTGTTGCGACGGTTGTCCCAGGACACTACGCGAACTTCTGGGGTGGTATCTGGTCTTCAGTCTCTCTCTCTCTCTCTCTCTCGAATCTCAATATATGCGATTATACTGGGCATAATGGGCACTGTGGCATAATTAATTATATTGTAAATTCTTGCCATAAAAACCGACCCGGGCGATTCGAATGTAGCCGGGAGTGATTCTACAAAGCCACGTTCATTGCATATGAAGAGAAATTCAGATAGATAACGTTGCGCGATGTACTCGTAGCTTGCCAATTCGGACCTACTTATTTTTCCTCAGATGCTGCCTGTTAGGCCAAACGGACGTATTCGTTTAAAATTTAGGGAAATCGACTTTCGAGTAGTACGTCCGATGCCCATCCACGTATTGAACGTTTCAATACGTTACCGTCACAAGGCATACAATCATGTGTACAGCATCATATTGTCACTTCTACTTGAGACAATGAAAATCCATATTTTCCTGTTTATGTAGATTAAGAAAAAAATAATTAAAAAAAAAAAAAAAGTTTATTTGTTCTAAGCCAGCTGGGTACACCTGCGTATGATTGAATTGTTCTAAGATGACTGCAACATGCGAATAATCGTAGTAGTAGTAGTAGTAGTGTACTTTTTTCAAATTAATATCGGAACATTATTGGGAGCGACATCCGAAGAAATCTTTCGTTCATACTATGTACGGATTGTATCACCAGAAAATGATGACAAAGGTAGAAGTATACAAGTTTCCAGTTATGTATATCTCTGAATATTGTAAGCAAGATATTGAGAAGTAAATTTCTTAGAGAGATGCGCTTGATGCTTGCAGACTGCGATCTAGATCGTTTATAGTGTTCTTGTCGAAATTATATTTGAAAAATCCTTATAAAATACTATTTCAATGTAAAACAGAACATAGTGGATCATGTGTACTTTATGCATATTTTTCAAAAAATCGACAAGTAAACCTCTTTCTTCTGGCT